GAATTCTGGGAGTTGAAGCCCACTCATCTTAAAGTGGCCAAGTTTGGACAACACTGTCCTAAGGAGACCAAAGGCTTTCTACAGCATTTATGCTAAGCTTTGTAAAACCATTTTTTCTCTTTGGTTCTTGCTCCACTGCCAAGCAGCGGCTAGATAAAGACTGCCATCTTGTGAATCTGCAGCAAAGTGATACAGCAGCAAAGTGATAATAGAGGCAAAATTAAGAAGTAGGTGGCATATGCTATGAAGTAGGACTTCAGTCAGATTGTTTGCCCTGATTTATAATTATTGAAGTATTTCTGAACAGCTAGAGCTTATCGTGTTATCTAAGCTGAGAACTATTTCTTAAATGATAAGAAGCATTTTTGATGGCAACCATGATGGTTTTAAAGGACCTCATGGTCAATCATAGCTTAGAACACTGGGCTGAAGGGGGCTTTTAATTAAAGCGCTTCTGTATGGAAACTGATTATTTAGGCAATCCAAAGTGAGAATCTAAATGTTTTACCTTTCTGGGGTTTGGGAAGTGAGAAGGTGGGAATAACTGTATGACTTTATGGTCAGCCAGAAGCACTGGCCATGTTTTTGGAAATTCAATCTAGGAGCTGAATCTTTTCCTAGGCTGAGATTTTCCTAAATCTGGAAGGAGCTACTAAGGCCATCAAGTCTAACTCCTTGCTCAGTGCAGGAATCCAAATTAAAGCATCCCTCACTGATGGTTATCTAGCTTCTGCTTAAAAGCACTGAGTGAAAGGGAACCCTCCAGCTCTCCAAGCAATTGGTTTCACAGCCCAGCTACTCATCCAGCTATGATCTTTTTTTTTTAACCATCAAGAGGAATCTGTCTTCTGTGTCTTCCACTCTGAAATGGAGAACAGGTCTTGACTTTCTCTGTGTGACATCCTTTCAGGTATTTGAATACTGCTGTCATACCCTCCCACCCCCCAGTGTTCTCTTTCTATGAATAACCAGGCCTGGCTCCCTCCCCCTTCTTTTGGTCTTAATTTCTAGACCTTGATCACCCTTCTCACCCTACTCTGGATTTCTTCCAGTCTGTCGGAATCATTAAAGTATAATGCCCCAAAGTGGGCACAGTACTGGAAGTTGGTTCTCACTGTCACTAATACAGAATAAATTGCAATTATTAACTTCCTGTGATACAGAAACTATACTGCTAGCTGGGCACCAATTTCGTTAGCCATAAGCCACTGCCGATTCCTAGTTCAAATATATTCATTTACTATTGAATAAACGATTATTCCAAGCCAACTATCTCACATCCTACACCTGTGCACTAATTTTGCTTCCTAAGTGAAGAACTTTGCATTTGCCTCTGTTAGATTTCATTTTATTATTTTAGCCCATTTTATTAATCTATCAAGTTCAGTTTGAAATTTGTCTTTTACACTAGTATCAGCTATCCCACTCAGTTTTGTGTCATTTGCATATTTGCTAAGCATTCTCTCCACTCTTCATCTAAGTCTTTA